AGGAGAGACAGAGGTTAGAGGTTAAAGTGATAAGAGATCACTGGCTTAAGTAAGGACTGAGAGATGTAATAAATTATAAACAGAGACAGACAATAGTAGATTTAATACAGAAGTTCATTAAGAAAGTAAAAAAAAAAACAACTTTATCTTGAAGATGAATCTAATTAACTAATCAGCATAGTGTTTTATTTATTAAAATGCAACTAAATAAAAAGCAATAATCTGGGTCCCATGTTTTGGCAGTGTTGCTCATAATTACAAAAGATCAGAATAGAGTAATGATATCCTTTATTGTCTTAGAGGTGGAAAATACAAATGAAAGTTTATAAGTTCCCATATCACAAAAAACAATATATTTACAAGTTAAAGGACTGTACGCATCTAAATAAAAAATAAGAATAGACTGTAGAATAATAAAATACATCCAAATCACAAAGACAAAATGTGTGGCAAACTAAATTAAGTGTCCAAAATAGAGCACACTGGAAACACCACTAAAACAAATAAAAAATGTGCAAATACCAGCTAGGATGTAGACACTTTAGGCTGGAATATACTGAGAAACCAGGCCGTCTGTGTGTGTGTGTCGCAGTTAACGCAGATATGCCCCACAGGAGGCCTCTGATTGGTCAAATCTACATCTGCTCTACACTATGCGTATTTCCTGTTTGGTATGACTGCCATTGTGGAAAACGAATCGTTTAGATGGACCAGCTAGAAGAGGGAGGTGCGCAAGAATGCTGAGACCCTTTTTCCACCAGGATCCCCACTCTTTTTCGCCCTCATGTCCCTCCGTTGTCACACAAACTTGCCCCCACTTCCTTACCACCTCGGCCGTATCTAGACCCACAGCTAGTTCCTGATTGTCCCTCTTGCTTTGAGGCCTGGAATAACATAGTGCAGAACATACTTCAAAATTGGGCATAAATCAGAAATATCTGCGACAAGCTCACTGCGACACACTGCTGCGGGAGTATAACCAGCCTTTTACTGAACAGATAAACACTGTGCACATATTGGCATGGATGTGACACACTGCTTTTGACTGTTGGATACAATGATCTTAAAAGATCCTGAACAACAAGTTCATTTGAATCAGTTAAAAACTAGTTTAGACTTGTCTTTGACTGCTCTATTCAATCCAGGGCTGCAGTTATCGGTTATTTTAGTCTTTAACTAATCTACCTCAATGGCTGGCTGGTAGGCAAACTGCAGCCAACCTTATGGTAGAGGACCAACTTCTCAAGGATTTTTTTGAGATGTGAAGTCATTGCTGCTGAGGTCCCTCAGGGATGTGTTCTTTGGCACTGGAGGTCTTTCAGATTTGCTGTTCTTTACCCAACTTCAGGCCCATGGTGCTGATAAGAGCCAAAAGGTATGAGGTCATGGGGAAAAAACAAGCAGGTGTCAAAGATGGGGGTGAGAGGCAAGAAGTGCCTCTGTATACAAACCATCTAAGGCGAACCTACGTGTTTAGAACCATATGGGAAAATATTGATATATTCATTTATCTGAGGATGTTTTTCAGTGTCATTTTGTTAGTACATACAGAACATGTAAACTTTACCCTCTTTGTTCCATGCAGGGAAAGATGTGAACATAAGAATTTTTGTTAGCAGACTCTTTTCCCCTCCACAGTTCAGAAAATTACAGATCTGGATCTGTGGTATGAGTTATGAATAAAACATGATGGTGTAAGCTGTAGTGCTGGTCAGTTGAGAGTTATAGGATGTTTTAAAAGGGGGCAGTCAGAAGAAACCCGCCGAGAGGTCTGCTCCCTTTCAGCTCTAAAATCCATCTTTTATTGTGTGGCTTGCTGTTATGGTTTGATTTCTAGCCAGCAGCTGTGTTACAACCTCATTACAAAGCAGGAGCACTGCAGTCACTAACTGCTGGCATGTTGAGCAAGAAAGTTGATTTTCACAAAGGCTGCAGACCCAAACAGAGCTAACAAGATACAGAAAAACAGGATTTAGATACCTGCTTTTATATTTCAGCAAAGCTTTGAGTGGAAGCTCAATCGCTGTCTCTGTACCACATCAGGAAATACCTACAAAACAAGAAAATAAATGTTTGCATATAGGTTTAGTTTTATTTATCTGAGGATTTTCTCATTTTTTTCTACCACCTTCCCTTCTCATTCCAATAATGCCTGAATTGAATATATTTACATATATTGTTTGAAAATCACATAATTATTACATTTCTCTAATAAATCTAAAATATGTTTTTCAATGACAAATACAGAGAAAGCCTTGATTCATTTTGTAATTTAAAGATATATTGTTTAGAGCTAAAAATATTAATCAGATTAATTAATTATTGAAACAATCATCAACTAATTTAATAATCAATTAATTGTTAACTTGAGTATAGAGACTCTAAAACACGCCTTTAGACAGCAAAGAAACCCACTCAGAGCAGTAATTATACCAAAATTGTAAAATAAATATTTAAACATTTTGCATTAATGATAAAAATCTTTTTCGTCTTTCAATATGCTCTATCCAGAACTCCTCAAGTGGAAAACTGTTAGTTTCACCTGGCCTAATTTTGCAAAAATTCTTCTTTAAGGGACTTTTTGCTATTGGATTATTAAGCAATTAATCGAAAAACATAATCAACAGATTATTTGATTTGTAAAGTAATCAGTAGTTGCAGCCCTAATATGGTTATATCTTATAGTTATATAATATAGTATAGCTTATGCATATATTTATTTTAAGAATCCCGATAACAGCTTGAAAATAAAAAGTTTACTTGAACTAAAAATTGTATTAGCAATCACAGTAACTGTCTCCTGTGTTTTAATATAAACATGAAACATAAAAAGACATGCTAATGAAAGTTTAGTGTACTCATAATAGGATATAATTGCCTAAAACAGTGATTCCCAAGCTGGGGTACTCGTATCCCTAGTGGTCTGCGAGTGCATTGCAAGGGATATATAAGCATTTTAATTCTTAGGTAGTAAGATCAAATAGGGCTGGGATCTGTTCTGCTTTGTCGGGACCCAATTTAAAAAATGAAACAAGCATGTATTAACCAAAAAGAAAGTTTTTCTTTGAGTTCACCTTCAGCTGTGACACACATCCAAACCAAGCAGAGGAACAGACTGGATGTAGAGAACAGCCTGGGATCAGCTGTTTTTCAAACTGAGCTATTGGAGCTCATCAAAGCAGCTCAGGTGTCTTGATGAAAACATTTTGTTCCCAATTCGTGAAGTTTAAATGTGATTATAACATATTTACTTATAGGAGCTCCAGTTTTATAAATACAGTTTTATAATAGGATGTTATTTTGATTCTTTACTAATTCCCAGACAACGTATTTATGTTGTTTTTCATTTGACATGGAAAGAATAAATTGCCTAAGAATCAAATACTCAAAAGATTAAGTAAACAAGTTTTTATTTCATAACCAGTTATTGTGCGTCCACCTTTGGACAACCATCATTACTTTTGACAGAGAGGGTACACAAGTCTGGTACACAAGTCTAAATCTAAAGTATAAAAAAGAGTTTTATGTACAGTCGACTTGAGCAAGAGGGAAAATGTGGCTAATATAAGGCTAGCCACATTTGACCTGTCAGCTCAGGTCAAATGTTATAATGAAATTAATAGGAGGATTTATTAGTTTGGTCCAAACTCGAACTGCTGTGGGTGCTGTTCCCACACCCCTTTCTCTGACCGCCTTATAGGCAACATTTCCACAAACAGCTGGTTTGGGGCCAGGGAGGGAAGCCACTTTTAGACCGGCTCCTCAGTGATTCCTCTACTGGGACTCGCTTTAAATGTGTCGCGGTTCCTGTTTACAGGATAAAGATTAAGTTTGCTGGACTTTGCATCTGCCACAAGTTTTCAAAATGTTGGAACTTCAAATAAAACAAAAGTCACAAAAAAAATTAAAACAAAGAATCTTAAATGAGATCCAGCATTTCTTTTTAACTGGCTCAGGCAGAGGCTTCTTGCTTCTGTGTCTCTTATTTCTTCTATTTTCACTTTTTTTCCCCTCACACTTAGATAAACATTATATCATATTCAAATAAAGACTTCATGTATTAATGGAAATAGGCTATCTAAACTAACCCTATGTTTTCCTACTAAATTTTTAAACCCACTCTCCCACACTTGGCAGAAACAAAACCCATCAAATGTTCGTGATAACTGAGCCTTTACATCACTGGATAGGAATTCCGGCTCACTCTTCATTGCAGAATTGTTTTGGTTTTATGTGTAATTAAAGCAAAGCTGAAAGATTTTACATCAGATGTAACAGGATACACACCTTGAAAGAAGCTTGACCTTTGTCTCCTCAGTTTACAGTTGTGAGGATGTTTAAGGTATTTTTGGTTGAAGGCAGAGATTGAGCGAGTATACAGCTGACTGTTGGGTGAGCGGAGATACAGTAGAGTTGAGGCACAAATATGCCGTATTTGAGTTGTTAACTGGTCCCTGAGAGGTCCCAAAGAGCTGGAGATGGCTAATTTTACCCCATTACATACTGATAAATGTCAATTAATTTTTATGTCATCTGTCATTAAATTTTATCAGAAAAGATCAATACAGTATGGTTTGAGATCTTTTAGTTGTCTGTTTTAGTGATTTTCTTTTTCCTTTTTAGTTCCCATGTCCAGCAGTCCTCAGGTCTTGTTGATACTGGTTTAAAAACTGGTGCAAAAACTTTAAAGTCAAACATTTTTGTTTTGAAACAATTGTATGCCTTTAAAATTACTGGTCAGAACAATTTAGAATGTTGAATGGAGCCGAAAATCTGAATTCCAGGGGTTTCATCTCATTACGCTGCAGCATATTTTCACTTTTATAAAACGTTTATTGTATCCTACTGAAAATGAAATATTAGCTTGATATTACAAAATAGCACCTGATAACAGTTAGTACAGTGTGTACAGCAAATAAAAAAAAAAAGGCTCAAAGCTGAATTAATAACAGGAAATTTTATTTCTCATACAAATCATTTCTTCTCATCTATTTTCCCAGACTGCTCAGACCGTGCTGGTGGTGGTGGTGGTGTTCTGCTTGTCCTGGCTCCCTCATCACGTCGTTCATCTCTGGGTGGAGTTCGGGACCTTTCCGCTGACCCAGGCCTCCTTCGTGTTTCGGGTGGCCGCACACTGCCTGGCGTACAGCAACTCCTCCGTGAACCCTGTCATCTACGCCTTCTTGTCAGAGAACTTCAGGAAGGCTTACAAGCAAGTCTTTAAATGCCAGATTGGCAACGGCGACTGTCCCCTCAACGACATCAAGGAGATCCGCAGCAAGGCAGATACTCCGCCGTCGACTAACTGCACCAACGTTTGACCAGTTTTGCGTGACATGAACGTTTATCGAGCCAGTACACTGAAACTCACTATAAGTCACTTTGACTAAGTCATCAGACATGAGTTGGTGTGTGTTCTGATCCGGATGATTATTACCGATGATCATAATCTTGGTCTCAAGAAAAGTCAGCAGTGTCTAAAACTCAAGAGAAGAGTTAGTAAGAAAGGCAGATAATCGAGTATCACATCATAATGCATTTCTGTTGTTATAACATTCAAAGATAAGGTCAATTAACCCCCTGACTTCATTAGTATCAATGTAAGTAGCACAATTTTTGCTTCACAGAAATATAAGGATTGAGTTTCAAATGCTTTGCTGTGTCTGAAGAGCAAACACTTTTTTTTCATGCAATTTATACAGTAGAACTGCTTTATCCCAGCATGTTTTAATTACTGGTTGTAGTATTGTCAAGTTAAACGTATTTATGTATATTGGTAAAACAGAGGCAATGTTCTAAAATTCTCTCCTGCATGTTTAAGATATCAGAGAATCTTTGTTTCTTTAAAAAAAAAAGCAAAAAAAAAAACAGTTACAGCATTCAGAAACTTAAAATGGCAGAAAAACATAATCTGTCGCTAAAAATTCTGCTGGGTTTGTTGTTTCCTTGAAGCTGTAAATTGCATTTATCTTGCACTTCTGAGTCGCGATAGTGGGGGGTGAATATTATGGTTAGCTACCAAGACAATGACTTTTGTTTCTGAAAGATATGAAGTAAATCTACATTTCTGCTGTTTCAAAAAGCTGTCTTTTTCTTTTTTTTTTTGGTTGCATGGAAATGTCCAAATCTAGTTTCTGAACAACAAACAATAATAATTGGTTTCATTATATTGACATTTGGTTTAAACGCTATGTTTAAGTTTTTTAAACTTGGACACCCTTTACTACAAAGATTGACCAAAACCCTTATCTTCGTTTTCATTCAGCAATTCAGTTTGTTTGAAGTGCCAACAAAGGCAACAGGGCACGAGGTTCATTTAACTCATGGTCTTTGTTTAGGTGTAAAAAAATTAAATCATAATCTGAATGTTAGCTGATTATAAATCCAGCTCTCCCTTAGCTACAAATGACTCTGTATTGGATAACATGGATTGTGTTAGGTATAAGCTTGTGTGAAACTCAGTGTGACATCAATGCATTTTGATTAACAGTGCTGCTCCAAGCTTGAGAGTATTTTTTCGTATTTTAACTATTCTATTTGCAAGTTTTTGAAAAAACAACCTACCATATTAAAAAAGGCATTTCTTTGGACCCATATCCACACACATCTCACCTGTGGTTCTTTTGCACAAATGGAAATGCTGCAGGTCAGCGAAATATGTGTTTTTAAAATCCTTTTCAAATTAAATAGCTTCTAAAGGACAACCACAGCAATAAAATTCACTACATTGTTTGTGTTTGCACATCTGATTGAGAAAGAGGCGCGTCTGGCATTGGCTCATACATACAAGTCGGGTATGTGTCAAGGCATTTCATCATGAAGCCACCCTAGGGCACGGGTTTAAACTTTCCACTCTTGGAGCAAATTTTAGTTATTGCCATTTTTTTGCTGTTTCACTTGGACAAGGCCCCCATCTAACCGAAAAATTTGTCTGATACACCCAAACTGGCTTCGTCTGGACGGGTAAAAGCGACCTTGGTGATAGTCATTATATATCGACGTACCATGTGTAATTTGTAATTACGTCCGCCAAGGAGGATATGATCTTAGCCAAGTTTGTGTGATTATCTCCCTGTGTACAGGATAAGCTTAAAAGTTATGAACGGACTTAAATTAACTTTTTATCCAAGCTGCATCCCAGTCCATGGAGCAGTTAATTAAAAACTGGCGATGATCCACATCCCTATCTTGATGCAGGAAGTTTTTAAATGATTCTTTTACATTATTTGGCAGAATAAGCAGTTCAAATTCAATTTAGTTTATTTATATAGCGCCAATTCAGAACATACAGTGTTTAACTCAATGTATGTTATAAGGACAATTTATCCAGCTCATACAGTCGGATTGGTTCAAAGTTTTTTATTAAAGAAAATCAGATTATTGCATCGACTCATTGACTCATCAGCAATCCTTTACACCAAGCATGCCTGTAGTAACATTGGAGAGGAAAACTCCCTTTTAGAAGAAAGGAACCTCCAGCAGAACCAGGCTTAGTGTGAGCGGCAGTCTGTCGAGGCCGGCTGGGGTTCAAGGAGGCAGAAGCAGAGATACAAAAGGCAACTGTTAACTAGCTCCAAAGGCGGGCCTGTCCAAGACACAGCCAGGGAGATGAGCTCTGAGGTAACTACCATATGAGAGGGTTAAATGTAGTTATAAAAACAATCATAGTTAGAGAAACAGGACTAAAATTAAAGCAGGCAAAGCTCCAACATCTATAAACAAAGGTGTTCATGGCAGCAACACAGCTGATATTTCTCTTGAGGATGGTGTCAATAGGAGCAGACCAGATGAAGCTACAATGATTAAAAAAAGCAGAAAGAGCTTAAAGATGGAAGTTGAACTAACAAATACTGAAAGGTAGAGATGGAATGAGGAAAAGTTGTCCCTATGTCCTCCAACAGTCTAAACCTATAGCAGCATAACTATAGAGATAGCTCAGGATACCCTGAGCCTCTCTTACTGTAAGCTTTATCGAAAAGGTGTCTGCCTTATGGACTAAAACTGGTAGCTGGTTCCACGGGAGATGTGCATGATAACTAAAATATCTGCCTCCCATTCTGCTTTTAGAAATTCTAGTTCCCCCCTTAAGCAGAGAGTGGTGGCAGTGACTATTTACCGCATCGCACTCAAAAAAGTATTATACTGAAGACAAAAATGTGAGCCATGCCTCACTCGAAGTCTTGATCTACTGATAAAAAAAGAAAGCAGAGTGCAGACTAAATGAAGGAGGTGAGAGCAGAACATTTGATAATGATCCAGATTATGTACGAGTTTTAGCTATAGGTGTAAGTCACAATATGGAGCCAAAACTTGCTGTTTTGCAGAGGTCTGTGCTCTCAGAGTGCTTTTCAAGTTTTTTAATATGTAAATGAGTTCTGCCCCCATGCACACCACACATCCGTCTCAACATATTGCACAATATTTAAAGCATTAAAATTTGGCCTAAATAACCAACTAGGACTTTGGGATTTGGCATACAAACATTAGAACTTTTTATTCAGACTGACCCTTTATTATACAAAGGACATTATAAGTGGTCCTTGACTTAATTACTTAAAATCCTGAAAAAAATAAGTACTAGAACTAAATGTGTAAAATCCAAGCTGAAAAAATTATTCAAATAATAGATCTGTGCACTCACAACCTATGTAACATGTAACTAACAGCCAGTATTCAAAAGCACGTGATTAATTATCAATGAATCCCTATTTTACTATTCTAGAATCAAAGTTAAGACCATATCAATGCAGATAATACTGGAGCAAATCCTCAAAAGGCAGCGTGCTGTTATGGTGGCTACCCAAAGCCAAACAGTGTCCCTGGAGAGAAAAACTGAATCATGGATAAACATGGAGGTTTTCGTTTTTCTGGATTTTTAAAAGTCACTTGAGAACAGTCCTGGAAATTGTACAGTATTTGTACATTTGTTATGGGGAAATTTAATTGTAGAAATTCAAAAGGTATAATAATCAAATATATGCGATTGTCTTGCTTTGTACTTTGCTTCGCTGCCTTTTTTGTAATTTTTGTAGTTGTGTTGGCTGAGATACTCCTTTGGATGAAGCAAGAAAGCACAGTGCATGTTTTGTACTTTTCCTAGTATCTCTCTAAGAACACAATTTGTTTTTTTTTATGAATCAAAGATTTAAAGCAAATCTCACATGAGGCCAAGATTCTAAAGAATACAGCTTTACCTCATTACAGTAAAGCCATAAACTGTAAATAATCAGCTCGTTCATTTAAAACCATAGTATACTACAATGATTTTGCTTTAAGGTTGACCCTAAAAGAATCCCACGCTTTGATATAAATGGTCAGACAAAGGTCAAAAAGACAGATTTTCACTGCAGCAGATTCAAAGCACCTAATACATTAAATCAACATCCTAATTCCTCCCATTGGAGTCCGTTTGCTTCCAGACTGCAGGGGAGATATTGTGGATGACTAGGCTTAGTGTGGAGCTGCCTTCACAGATGGTATTGCTGAAGACAGAAGGAGTTTATTTTTTCCATTGAACCTACAATTGACAATATCTTTAAGGTTCTCTACATACATTTATTAAAACATAGATAAATTCCATAGCAAGATTAAATATTTTATTAGAAAGATGTAATGTTTTCTCCTATCTTTCTGTCAACCCTGGAGCCAGACACAATATATATTGTTTTTTATTCCATAAAGATAATTATATGGTCAGAGAGCATGATGCATTGTTTTAACTAATGGTGCTTACCTCTACTCTGTACTTTTTTAAAAACATAATTGCACTTGGAGTTTACTTGCAACTGTTGATTACACTGTAGGCACTTACTTCAATGTATTTTATTCTTATTTAGTGAAAGACTAACATCCATTTGTGATTGTAGAAAAGTAAAAAGAGCAAAAGTAAAAAAAGTAAAAAAAAGTAAAAGTAAAAAAAAGCAACTAAAATTAAACATGTGTCAGAGAATAAACAATTCACATAAACGATAACTCAACATCCGCAAGTGCTGGTGGGAGGACTATAGAGGGGGACGGTTTTTTGTACAGAGTCAAGAAAGATGATCAGAACTAATGGAAGAATAGATGGCATTAAGTACGGTCCTGAAAGAAATCATTTTAGTGTCTGAAAAAAATTTGAAAGTGCAGTTTAAGAGCATCTTCCATCAGGAAAACAATACTAAACACTCAGCTTAAGCTACAAACATACTCATGTGTTACTCCAAAATACAATGGATCACATTTGGCAAATGATCTGATAAAAGTAGGGCTATATGATGTCCATAATCTGTTGCAATATCCAACACAGACCATTCACGATTTTCCACGGCTATACCTCTGACTCTGACGGAATTATGCTGCAGTTTGATAGGAAAGGCAGGAGTCAGGCAAAAAGTAAGACCAAGTAAAAAAGTAAAACAAAAAAGATTTTGGGAAAAACAAACAAAAATTGTGAGATGAACCTCACAGTATTTGCAAATTTTTACCTAATTAATTTGAACAAATTGATTGACCAGAAACAGAAGGGATTCAAATAGCCTGTCACAATAACAATAGCCAGAAACATGTATGATTTAGTACAATTATTCATCAACAGAAGAACTGCATAACTTTATTATTTACATATACTCTTCAACTCATATGATGAAGCTATTTTTGTAAGAAGAGTGTTCAAACAATTCTGTATTGAGACGTGCAAAGCAGGTAGAGACTGCACCAAAGGGTAGTTTAATAACCAGTTTATTGAAGATGCTGATTAAAAATGTGTGCTATGCTATGAAGTATTTTATTTGCAAGAAGCTGTGTATCATTCTGTACCGCTCTAGTCCTATAAAGTGTGTCAAAGTTTGGTAAAAACTTTGAAATATGTGAAACGGATTAGAGAAAGCACTGTACAGCTTAATGACAACCAACAAATAGATTCTTCTTTGTTTATGGCAAGCTTTATGTTTTATACTTCTTATTTATTAATCCATTTATGCCATCATGCCAATCTATTCAGCACTTTGGTTTGCAGAGCTTGTTGTGTTGTGATATAAATGTGCTGCTGTAATGTAAAAAGATAAACAAGAATGTGAAACAATTTTGATTTTATAGTCTCTTTTTCTGCTTGACTGCGATTTAATGCAGTTTATTATAAAATGATAATAAACACAACAGTTTCTTCAAGAAATAATAAGGGTTTCGTAAAGAAAAACAAAGATTACATTTTCTAAATTCTTGTGTGTTTTCGCAGATGCAGTTCTCACATCTTGCTGTGGTTTTTGCCTCTATAAAAATAGATTTTCTACATCATAATTTTTAACAAAAATCAACCGTGACTTATTTACTGCACTGATCTGTTTAGGTTCCCACCATGCCTCAAAATGTATTTTTTGAAAATATTAAGGGTCTGAAAACATTAATTGCATCACATCAACACTGTAATCTTTGATAAAGTCTAACTTGAAAGATTACAGTCTTGCAATTAATGAATTTTTATCATTATTACCTACATTTTATTTTGCTTTACAGAATGTAATCCAGATGGTATTACATTAGAATAAACCATTACTTTGACAACAGTAGGTCATACTGATAGAGTTAATCTATAATGATCAAAACTTAAGAGAGTATA